TTCCGGAGTCTGAGGCAGGAGGCTTACGAGTTCAAGGCCAGCCTGGGCAATTCAGCAAGCTCCTGTGTCAAAATAAAATTTTTATAAAGGGCTGGGGCATACCTCAGTGGCAGATCCTACACTTGGCAGGTCAGACTGGCTCTGTCCCCAGTACAGGAAAATAAACAGTCGTCATTTGTTAGTGTTACGGGGACTGGTCCCAGGGCCCCCCAGATGCTCCAGCGTGCAGTTCCCTGAGTGCCTTCTATGGAGTGGTGCAGTGTTTGCATAGATCCCCAGGGAAACTCCAAACTTGGGATCCTCCTGCCTCAGCCTCCTGCGTCACTGGGGCAGCAGGTGTGCACCCCAGCCCCAGCCGCATCGGCTCTTCTGACGCTTTCCCACCCCCACCCCCCGTGGACCCCAAGTCCTGGGCTTGACAGCCCAGGCTGGTTCAGCCAGCTTGGGGATGCTGGGGGAGGCACCTCGCCCACCCTGAGTGTCCCGCCTGCCCACTGCCCGCAGCCTGCTCATCACCTCGCTGGGACACATCAAGCTGACAGACTTCGGGCTGTCCAAGATTGGGCTCATGAGCATGGCCACCAACCTGTACGAGGGCCACATCGAGAAGGATGCACATGAGTTCGTGGACAAGCAGGTGGGCGGGCACGCGGGCAGAGCAGCCTGGGGATGAGGCCCGGCCCCTGGGTGCTGGGACACAGGACAGTGGGGAAAGCAGCCAGCCTCGGTGGCACACCTTGGTCCTAGTAGCTGGGAGGCTGAGTCAGGAGGGTCACAAGTTCAAGCTCAGTGTGGGCATCTTGAGGACTTGGCAAGGCCCTGCCTCAGAAAGGGCAAAGAATAGAAACACAGAGCAAAGAAACTGATTCCCTTCACTGTACCCCCTGCCCCCAGAGCCCTCTGCTCTGCTTTTCCGTCTGGCCTTGGGCTCTCCCAGCTGGAGGCTGCCTCAGTTTCCCACTCTGCCCTGACAGGTGTGCGGGACTCCCGAGTACATCGCCCCCGAGGTGATCTTCCGCCAGGGCTACGGGAAGCCGGTGGACTGGTGGGCCATGGGCGTCACCCTCTACGAGTTCCTGGTGGGCTGTGTGCCCTTCTTCGGGGACACACCGGAGGAGCTGTTTGGGCAGGTGGTCAGTGGTGCGTGCCCAGTCCTGCCGGCGCCGGATGGGGTCACCTGCGCTGTGCCCTTGGGACACATCCCGGGCTGAGGCAGATAGACGGGACCGCCCCCACTTACTCCTGCCCTCATTTCAGACGAGATCATGTGGCCAGAAGGGGAAGAGGCGCTTCCAGCTGACGCCCAAGACCTCATCACCAGGCTGCTGCGCCAGAGTCCCATGGAGCGTCTGGGCACAGGTATGTAGGTGCTGGCACGGCCCAGGAAGTAGAGGGGGATAGGACCTGAGGTTAATTAAAGAAAGCTCTTCTTTGGCAGGTGTGTGGAAGGGAGGGGCCTTGGAGGTGGGGTTCAGAAGGATGCATAGGAGTTTGACTAAAACTAGAACGAGAACTGAAGGAATAGAAGATAGATGGGCCTGAGGTTCCCCAGGGACACCACGGCTGTGGCCCTGCGAAGTCACCAGAGTTGCATCCTGAGGCTTCAAAGGCCTGGTTCAGAGGACCCAACAGTCACTTCCTGCTCTCAGGCCAAAGAGGAACCACTTTAGGTGTGTGGGATTTAAGTCCTCAGAGGCAAGGGCAGGGCTGAGAAGAGGCTCACGGGGCTTGCAAGGTGCAGGCGGGACCTGCAGGGCTCAGCCGGCTGGCTGCGTCTGCAGGTGGCACCCATGAGGTCAAACAGCACCCCTTCTTCCTGGGCCTGGACTGGGCGGGGCTCCTGCGACACAAGGCGGAGTTCGTGCCGCAGCTGGAGGCTGAGGACGACACCAGCTACTTCGACAGTACGTGCTGCCCGGGCCCCCGCGCAGCCAGATTCAGAGGGAAGCGGGGCACGGCCTCCTAGGTGTCAGCTCTCACAGGGGCCGGGGCACAGCGACGGTCAGGTGCGCCTCCCCTCCATCCAAATCCAAAGTTCCCAGCGCCAGCCGCATGGCAAGGCCTCCCAGCCATCTGCTTCCTGTTCTGTAAGACAGACAACACATGGCACATCCGAGATACACCAGCGGGCCGTGGCCTGTTTCAAGGGCAAGGAAGCCTGGCGTGGTGAATCTGCTTCCTGCGGTAAAACACACAAAACATGGCACATCCGAGATACACCAGCGGGCCGTGGCCTGTTTCAAGGGCAAGGAAGCCTGGCGTGGTGGCCCCAGTACTTGGGAAGCTGAGGCAGGAGGATCTCAGTGAGTTCAAGGCCAGCCTGAATTACATAGCGAGACCCTGGTCTCAAGAAACAACAAAAGAAGGGCCAGGGATTTAGTTCAGTGGTGCCACTGCCTGCCTCCTAAGTGCAAGGTCCAGAGTTCAATCCCTGGTACCAAAAAAGAAACAACAAAACAAAAAGTCAAGGGGCTGGATCCAAAGTTCACAGATGAAGCTGTTTCTGGGTCTCCAGTGGCAGGGACGTAGTTCAGAGTTATTCTTAGACACCCGCTTGGATGACAGAGCCTCGCGTGGTCCCTAAACATGCCCAGCGTGCTTCTGCCTCAGGGCCTTTGCACGGGGCTGCTGGGCCCAGGACACCCTCCCTGTGTCACCCCACAGCCCAGGAGGCCACCCGAGTGTCTCCGGGGGCCTGGGAGGTCACCCGAGCGGAGTGCCTCCCGGGCACCCACACCATCCTCCCCACCCCACAGCACGCTCGGAACGCTACCGCCACCTGGGCTCCGAGGACGATGAGACCAACGACGAGGAGTCCTCCACGGAGATCCCACAGTTTTCCTCGTGCTCACACCGCTTCAGCAAGGTGCGTGGGCCTGGGGGCCCACCTGTCTCTCTCATGGTGAAACACACAACAGACACCCCAGGGTCTCACTGTGTAGCCCAGGCTGGCCTCACACTCATGGAGATCCTCCTGCCTCAGCCTCAGAAGTGCTGGGATGACAGGCGTGCGCCACCACACCCGGCCCCGTTACTTTCTTATCACCCTCCAGGTCTACAGCAGCTCTGAGTTCCTGGCTGTGCAGCCGACCCCCACCTTTGCCGAAAGGAGCTGCAGTGTGGACCGGGAGGAAGGGTGGGAGCGCAGCAGTGACGGGGACAGTGGCCGCCAGCTGAGCACTGAGGTCCGGTAGGTGTCCAGGAGTTGAAGACCCATCATGCTTCCAAGTTTCTGAGGAGATAGAGCCCCAAAGTCTGATGTTGAAGAAGCTTCCCAGGGGCCTGGCAGAAAAGGGTCAGACTGGTCAGACTCCTGGGCCTCCAATAATCTCATTGCTTTTGGCTTTGCTCTCCTGACTGCATCAAACATAAAGCAGTTGTGCACTATTGTGCTGTTTGGCCAATAAATTTCTATTCATCTTTCAAAACCCACAATCATTGGGCTGGGGATTTAGCTCAGTGGTTCCACCGCCTGCCTGGCAAGCACAAGGACCTGAGTTCAATCCCCAGTACCAAAACAAAAAAACAAAAAACCCCACAACCATCAATGCCCCCTAACAAGGATGTTAGTTGGAGGTGGGTTTTGAAGGTTGAATAGGAGTTTTCTAGCACTCCACCCCTATTTGCCTCCTGGTGACTTAGTATTCGACACAGGCTCCTCCTCCCTGCAGACTTCGATCCTGGACCTCCTCTGGATCCTCCTGTCACTTGTCATCATGTCAGCCTGAGCGGGGCCCCAGCCCATCACTCCTGAGCAACATCAGCCTAGACACAATGCCCAAGTTCGCCTTCTCATCGGAAGATGAGGGAGCAGGCCCAGCCCCTGTGGACCCCAAAAAGCCTGTCTTCATTCTGGGAGAGCCTGATCCCCCTCCGCCAACCACCCCAGTAACACCCAAACCCTCAAGCCTTTCTGGTAGGTAGGGCGTAAGAGAAGAAGAGTCGTGTTACACACTTTCCCAGGGGAGGGATTATCTGAGAGGGTTTTTAAGAATGAGTAGTTCTCCAGAGCTAACAAAGACTTTAAAATGGTCCCAGAAAGGCACTAAGCCCCTGAGGACAATCAGTCGAGGGGTAACAGCTCCAGGATAGGGCTGGAGCCAGGGAAGCCCCAATAAGGGGAACTGGGGTCCAATGGGCATGGGAGGCAGCCTCTCAGAGGAGGGGACTTGAAGGGGTGACTTTCCCTTTAGAACAGCTCGGGAGGGGTTTGCGGGGGACAGGGCACTGCATGAGTGCGGGCCAGGAGTCTGGGTGTGTGTGGAGCCCAGGGAGGCGAACCAGGGCAGCGGGGACTGGGGTGAGGGGAGAGGGCACTGCTGACCCCACTGCCCACAGCCGACACGGCAGCCCTTAGCCACGTGCGGCTTCGGAGCAACAGCACAGGTGCCCGGCACTCCACACCCTGGGCCCTGGACGCTGGCCGCGGCCGCCGCCTCGGGCCAACCAGAGACCTTGCCGGAGACAAGACCAAGGCCAGCCCCGGTGGGGGCAGCAGCGGCGGCGGGGGACGGGTGCCCAAGTCAGCATCGGTGTCAGCCCTGTCCCTCATCATCACCGCAGGTGACACACGGCAGTGTCCCGGGGCAGGGGACAGGGAGAGTGAGGCGGTGTCCCCAAGCCAGCACAACACGTGCAAGGGCCCTGGGGCCATGCCGTGCCTGGCATACCAGTCCAGAGCGGCAGTCCTGGATAGAGGGAAGGTGGGTGGCCTCGAGAACCACACTGACGACCTCACCCTGCTCTCCCCTAGACGATGGCAGTGGCGGCCCCCTCATGAGCCCCCTGTCCCCGCGCTCGCTGTCCTCAAACCCGTCTTCCCGAGACTCCTCGCCAAGCCGGGACCCGTCGCCGGTGTGCAGCAGCCTGCGGCCCCCCTTAGTCATCCACAGCTCGGGCAAGAAGTATGGCTTCAGCCTGCGTGCCATCCGCGTCTACATGGGCGACAGCAACGTCTACACCGTGCACCACGTGGTCTGGGTGCGTGGGGGTGCGGGCCACGAAAGGGGGCTCCCCTGGGGGAGGGGCCGCCCTGGGCCGCCAGGCTCTTCTTCGCCCTTGTCGCTTTGGGGGGCCCTTTCCCTCCCCACCGCACACGCTCGGAACGGTCCTCAGCTTCGGGTAAACTGAGGCTCAGCTTGTTGGAGATCCACAGTGAATCCAGCCAGGTGGGAGCTCCGGGTTCGGGGCTCAGGCCTCTGACCCGTTGTGTCCCCTAGGGCGTGGAGGAGGGGAGCCCCGCCCAGGAGGCCGGGCTGCGCACTGGGGACCTCATCACGCACATCAACGGGGAGTCCGTGCTGGGCCTGGTGCACAGGGACGTCGTGGAGCTGCTGCTGAAGGTGTGTGGGGCTCGAGGGGCGCCCCGACTGGCCACACCTCCCGCTCCAGCCCCGCCCAGGCTGGCCACACCTCCC